TTTTTCAACATGTTCTCCATCGAATCATTAGTTTCTCCGCTTCACTCTGTGTCGGAGTCTCAGTGTTCCTCTCGTCCCTCCTCCTCCCACCCACATAGTCATCAAGGGTCTCTCTGCCCACATGCTGTTGTCACGGTGATGTTCCCTGAACCTCCAGCTCATCCGCCAAATAGATGTTGGCAAAATAAATCTGGTTTTCTTAGTTCACTGATCTTCATTTCTCAAACATCATTTTTTGGTTTGTTGTTTATAATCACAGCTTGAAAGCTAATTAGGTTCCAATCTTGTTTTTTTTTTCTAATATTCATGTTTTATCATATCCACACAAACCTCAATTCGTGTAAACAAAGCAGTGAAGTTTTCGTTTTTCTCAGAGGTAGAAATTGAATCTTGTTTTTGCATTCAGCTCCTTCTCTGAAAGCCTTCGATTAATTCTAATGCATCTTATCTCCTCCAGAAGTCACCTAATTATTAAACGCTTCTCTGAGAAAGTCTTGCTGACTAAACCAAGGAATGAAGGAATGAGTTGTTAAATCCTATCGATCTCACAGAAGCTCTTAGTCGCACCTAAAATGGATCCAGAAAGTTGGGGCAAAAAGAAAAATATGATAAGAAAGGAAAGAATAGCGGTGGATATGTACAAACTTAACCAAACTTGAGTGCATAAATAATTAGTATTTTGCTCAAAATATTAATCAGATTAATTTAATTATTGAAATTATCTTCAATTAATTTAGTAATATAATTGATTACACTAGTTGAGATTTGGAAAACATGCTTTTAATTTAAAGGGCGATCCACTTGGAGCAGTAATTATACCAAAACTGCTACAATAAAAAATTACCGTAAATTCCGGACTATAGAGCGCACCTGATTACAAGCCGCACGCTGTAATTTTAGAAAGAAAATACATTTTGTACTTTTATAAGCTGCACCGGATTTTAAGCCGCAGGTTTCACACATTGTATGAGATATTTACAAATTAAGATTATTTATTTTTTTTTTTTAACCTTTATTTTACCAGGAAGTCCCTTGAGATAAAATCTCTTTTTCGAGGGAGACCTGGCCAAGGGGCAGCAGTACAATAAGACATATAAAAACACATAAAAACAACATAATAAAATCAATCATAAACTAGACTCTAGAATAACAGTTACAATTCTCTGTGCAAGCGGTGCGGTACACGTGAGCATTTTTTTTTACGTTTGATTTAATCCGTATGATAAAACAAACAAATACGGTACATAATATGAATGCTTTTTTTTTTTTTTCAAACTACCTGTAACACATTTGAATATACGTATGTGTCGGTAACACGCAAATAACGCTGCATATACCCGTACTTTTAATTGAACAACGCACAGAACATTGCAGCCGACCAGGAAAAGTCTTTAATCACTTTCTTCTTGCTACTGCGCACTAAAACCCTCAAAACCCTGTATTATAGGCTGCAGTGTTCAAACAGCGGGTAAAAAGTAGCGGCTTATAGTCTGGAATTTACGGTATATGTCAACATTTTGCATTTAAAAAGCTAAATTTTTCCTCTTTCAATATGCTGCTAGACACATAATGCTGAAGCAGAAAGAAGTATGTAGTAGTGGTAACATTTTTCAGTGTTGTCCTGTTTCTCTGACTGTGACTGGCTGGATGTGCTCTCTACATCCTCTGACATGGGAGCTGGCTCGGAGCTCTTCTGCCTGGCTCTGTGTTTCCTGGACGGGGCCGCCTTTTACATTTGCAGCTGCTCACACTGAGCCCGGTTCTGCTGGAGGTTTCTTCCTGTTAAAAGGGAGTTTTTCCTCCCCCCTGTCGCTACAAGCCTTCGAGTCAATAAGTCGATGCAATCAACTGGTTTTCCTTAGATAGAAAACTTTGAACCAATCTGACTGGATGATCTGGTTGAACTGTAAAGTGCCTTGAGATAACGTGTTGTGAATTGGCGCTATATAAATAAACTGAATTGAATTGAACTCAGAGACTCCGGGACCCAAGCACAATGCTCTAACCAATAGACTCCCAAAATTCTCTAAAAATCATAGTGATAAAGGATAGTATTTTATATTGAGACTATTTTTAACCTATATAACGATAAGGCAAGTATACCCTCTTTAAAATCATTAAACTTTAATTTGTAGAGAGCAATGGAACTGGAAGACATTTTAAAAATTATTCTAAATCAACAATAAAGATATATGAAATAGACTCTTAATATTTGTTTACAGAAAAAGCTGCTAAATATAAACCAAACCAAACAAAAATCAATAAAATGGAGATAAAATTCCCAAAACAACCAGGATGGCTATGTTTTATTTTGCATATCTTATGCATATTTTTTTAGGAAAAAGAAAAAAAGCTTTTCAACTAAATTAAATTGCTGTTTGTCATTAGCGAAGTACAATATCTTTGATGGGCATTATTTTGCACTGACTTTTTTGTATTTCTCATGGCGGTGAAATGCAGCAGTGACAGATGATTGTCAGGAAAACAGGCGGCAGACTGGTTGGGGAAACCTCCAGGGGGCGACTGTAGGCTGCAAGTTTTGTTCTAATGCTGTTTTTAGTGGCTTCTGCTTTGGACTGGCTTGTCCAGGTGAAGAGGTTGACATTTGGCTGAAATCCAGATAACAATGCCGCTGTCGTGTTTACACCAAATCCATTTATTTTTCAAAACCTCCACAGGTCCATCCGCCTGCTTAGTACCTGACCCCTGAGTTCACTCCTCCCTGCACTGAGGAAACGACAAGGAAGGGTCGAGTGGAGACCGAAGCACCAGGAAAAAACCTTTTACCATCCGATTGTGTGATTCATGGTTTTATTGCTCATGGTGAAAGGCCTGGATTGAGGCTCTCTAGAATACTGTTATGAGGCCAAAAATGAACAGAAACGCTGGCAGAATACCAGGGTTAGGACTCCTTTACTTCTTTACAAAAACTAAGTCTTGATATTTTTGCTCGAGTTTCTAAAACATTATTTAATTTTAATACGAAATTAAATGTTTCAGTAATCGCATGGACAGAAACAAGCTCCTAATATTGCAAAGAGTCCACAAATCAATGTATCTGTGTAAAAACCTCCCCCTTTAGAGTTTTAACTCACAATAGAATTTTTTTTTTTTTTAATGGGTGCATATGAAGAGTTTAAATTAAAACAAAACTTCTGATGGATAAGGTGTTAAAATTAATGACTGCCATCGTCATTTAAATCTAAAGAGGAAATCTACAGCGTTTATTTTAGCTCCTCCCTCACATACAGTAGGACTACACCTCTGATCCTAACATTGATAATTAATAACTCGTAGCAGCAAGTAAAGAAAAACTTTCTCAGTGCTTTTATGATAAATATAAATAAGTCAAATTTAATTCAATTCAGTCCAGGAAACACACAGCCAGGCAGACGAGCTCCGAGCCAGCTCCCATGTTAGAGGATGTAGAGAGCACATCCAGTTAGTCACAGTCAGAGAAACAGGACTACACTGAAAAATTTTTACCACTATCACATACTTGTGATTTGGAGCAGAGACGCTCCAAATGCGACTCTACCTAAAGGTTCCTAAAGAAGATTTTTTACTAAATTAAACAAGGTGAAAGTAAATAGTTTCTACATGAGGAGTTCTGGATAGAGCACATTGAAAGAGGAAAAAGTTTTGCACCTTAAATGCAACATTTTTATATGTAATATATATTTTTTTTTAACATTTTGGTATAATTACTGCTCCACGTGGGTTGCTCTTCACATTAAAGGCATGTTTTACAAATCTATACTTGTGTAAATTAATAAATTACTAAATTAGTTGAAGATTATTTCAATAATTAATTAATCTGATTAATTTTTTCAGCCATATACTAATTATTTATGTACTCAAGTTTGGCTAATTTATTATTATTTATTTTATTTATATAGCACCAATTAACAACATGTCATCTCAAGACACTTTCCAGTTCACCAGATCATCCAGTCAGATTGATTCAGTTTTCTATCTAAGGAAAACCTGTTAATTGCATCAACTCATTGACTCAAAGGCAATCCCTCACACTAAGCATGCTTGTAGCGACAGTGGAGAGGAAGAACTACCTTTTAACAGGAAGAAACCTCCAGCAGAACCAGGCTCAGTGTGAGCGGCCATCTGCTGAGGCCGACTGGGGTTCAAGGAGACAGTAGAGTACAAAAGGCAACTGATTTTAGATATATTAATGTGGTATTTGCTGACAGAAGAAACTCACTCTGGTTGGTGCATCTCTGCAAAAGGTAACAGCAACAAATAAGTATTATCTAAGACAGGGGTTCTAAAAGTTGGGGTCGGGACCGCCAGGTGGGTCACTTGACACCAATAGAGGAGCCATGAGATGGTTTTGACAACCACTGTGATGTGATCCCAGATGTATGAGGGACAGAATACATACAAATTCTAACATACAGCATTAAATAGCTAAACATGTCCTATTAACCCTTTAAAGCCCGATCCAAGAATAAAACAAAACAGAAAATTACTTTTTTTTTGGTTTGAAGTCCTTATTTGGCCTTTTAACAAAATATGTAAAAAGAAAAAACAGAAATACATTTTTGATATTAATAATTTATTACTATGCGATAAGTCAAGATTATTTTTTGTGTCGTCTTCTGCCCTCTGTTATCAGGTATATCTGATTGTGTACAATAGGATTTTGAGCAAAGTTTTTACCATTAAATTATGCAAAAGGTGTCAGATGCAAAGCATTTCAGAAACCGTATGTATCAAATACGATACATTTGGCATTAAAATAAGCAGAATCACAAAAATTAAGTTATATTTATTCTTGGGGAGTGGCCAGTCTGTTCTGTTATTTTTGGGTCAGAGGCTGAAATGCTTAAGAAGCTCTGATCTAAAGTTGCATTACTAAAAAAGAAAATTCAGTCAAACCTTATATTTGCAGTAATAATCCCAGTTTATGGGAGCGTTAGAGACCTAGCAGACTAGAAAAGGCCCTGAAGAGGTAAAAAGTGAGGTGTGTCGCCCCAACTTACCTGTCTTTGTGCCGAGGTAGCCAGCTGGATCTGGCAGAACTTCACTGCTTGGTCCAGAGCTACATCTTCATCAACCTGCGACAGACAGACAGACAGACAGTAGCGGACGTTAGCACAGACCGGCATGCATCTTTAATCGCATTCTGCACCAGAGCCTGTGGGATTTCAGCGAAGCGTCACCTCCTGATCACTGGAAGAGAAACAAGATGGCCTGCGTGGTGTAGGAAGTCAGCAGGATCAGCTGCAGAACCAGCTGCTTCATTAGCTACGCAGGTTTAAGCAGAGTTCATGTCCGGCTCCTACTCGGTTAAACCGTAGTGATGATTTTATTTGTCACTTCTGTTAAAATGACTCAAACAGAAATCAGTCTGTCTGCTCCAGGGGACGATTTTAGGGAGTTTTTCTTCACGAAACAAAACCCACACAGCTACATAATCTGGCATGAATGGGATACAACCTTAAAAAAAAAATATTTTCTGCACTTTTATCACGCAGGTTCATAATTCACCCGATTACACCCAGGAGCTTCATCTGCAGCAGAGCGGCACACATGGATGAAGCGTGGGTAAAACTGAGCCTCTGACATTCATAACCCGTCAAACTGAGACAGGTTTGACAGCGGAAGCTCTTTCTGCGTGGAGCAAAAGACACTGTGGGTGTTTTATTTTCTCACCTTTAGTAGGTGAAACAAAACAGAAGTATAAAACCAGCAGCATGGTATGAAGAAGAAGTTTGTTTGTGCTCCTCTTGCACACAATTAAATAAATTAGCAGCACCTAGAGTTGTTAAATAAAACGTTGATAATAAAACAGTTGAGTTTGTAGATTTCTGAATTATTTGAATGTTAAAATAATGATACCTCGGACAAGCTTAATAGTTTTTCAAATTATGTTATATTATGCTGATTTATTTTGTTTTTATGTGGAAACTTATTTAACGAGCATCTGGGTTTCTGCTGAGAAAGCATTAAAGAAAATCAGCAGATTTAAATATAACTCCAAAAGTCAAACCCATTTAAAACATTTGAAAGAATTTAAAGACATTGGCAGTGTTTCATAGAGTCGTAAATTTTGTTCTTAAAATGGTTCAAAAGTACTAAGATCTAAGTATAAGTTCAGACTGGAGATGATTCCAGAAGCCATGACGCTGAATGATTGTTTCCATCTCTCTGTCGGCAACCATTGCGATAATAAAACCAGTCAACTTCAGTTTTTGAACTCAATTTGCAAAGTGCATCATGAAGGAGAGCCCTTCATCCAGTAAAAACCTAGGTATTCATCATTAACAACAAACTCAACTAGTTTGTCTTAGAGAATAATCAGAGGTGTAATTTCTCAAAGCCTTAAATGCCAGAAAATCATTGCTTTCATTTTATCAACATTCAAACTAATTTCCGTTTCTAAACGGACTGAACTGTTAAAAACAGACTGTAAACACTCCAAAGAGCAACAATGCATTAAAAAAATCATCCCTGTATAAAAAACATGAAAGGGCATTTTTTAAATTGTCACAAAAATTATTTATATAAATGGAAAATAAAAGTGGTCCCAGGACAAAGCCCTGCAGAACTCCTTTTGTAATTTTTTTTTACAGGATGTATTTTAGAGTAAAAGTGTCTAATGTTAAACGCCTTAAACACTTCAAACAATTAGGCAAGACAATTTTCGCAATTAAGGGCTAGAAGGTAATTTAAAAACTTTAAAGTGCAATAATTGTTTTCTGTAAATGAAATAGAATGGATTTAACTCTAAAAACACCTTTAGATGATCCTAAACTAGTTTTTCCAAAACTTTTAATTAATATACATCAATTGGAAATTGGTCTATAATTAATAAATATCGATAATCCGTCCCCCTTTGAACAGTAATGATACATAAACTGACTTAACTAGCTACTGGGAAGAGAATTCATTATTTCCATCTCACCAACACGGTTTTAATGGATAAGTTTAGGCTGGTTAAAACCTACTGTTTATAGACTGATTTTTGTACCTTCTTAAAAATTTTACAGCTGCATAAACTAGCGTCTGCAATTTATTTTCATAAAAGAAATAAGAGCTGAATACACCATACCTGCAGTCCAGGTGATAAAAATCAGTAAACATGTCAGAATATTGTTCAAATTTGCTATAATCATACAAGCTGTAGAAAAAAAAAATAAGTTAAAGTTTCTTAAAATCTTATTTTATATTTTCCTTCAAATAAGCTGATCTACCAATGTTTAATTTGGGGCTCAGAATTAGATATTTATATATTATGCACTTGCAATAAGGTAATCAGGTGTTTTTTTCTTATTTTAAATTTCAATCATCTTATTCCGTTGGTAAATTACCTAACTTACATAATTAAATCTAGGGAGAATATATTAATTTGAAAAAAGAACTTAAATTTTTGTAATGCTAATAATAGCATGATTAACTAAGATTTACTGCTTTGTGATATGCATATTGCCCTGCTATAACTAGGGCTGCAACTAATGATTATTTTGCAAATCGTTTAATCTGTTGATTCATTTTCCAATTAATAATCAGATTACCAAAGTTTGCTTAAAGAAGGCTTTACTAAATTAAACCAGGGGAAACCAAAACCATTGATTTAAGGATTTTTAAGATAGATCATATTGACAAAGACTTTTTTTTATCTTAAATGCAAAATGTTCACATATTTTTTCACAATTATGATATATTTACTGCTGTAAGTGGGTTGCTCTGTCAGCTAAAGTCCTATTTTACAGCCTCTATACTCCATTTTAACGATCAGTTACTAAATTATTTGACACAATAAATCCGATTCATTATTGCAGCCCTAGATATAACTAAAAATTACTATTACTACTGCTTTATTCATACTTTTTTAACTTTATTTACAGTATAACTTGCTTTAACATTGGAAACCTGCCCCTGTCTTGCAGTCGTGACCCACTTATTTTAGCGCATATATGTCAGGAGTACATTAAAAGCTATTTTTAGATGTAGTTTCCTGTCAAACAACTAGCAGCAAAGTGAGAAAAATCACAGAGGAGGGATTCACGTTTCAGAGTAAAAAGAAAAGCTTGTGGATGTTTGAAGAAGCCCCTGAAAACAGAGGAGGGAAAGTCCCTCTTCTTCTCATAGTAATTCTGTTAGCGGAGGGGTTTCCCAAAAGAGGACTCATATTCAGCGTGCGTGACTTGGCAAAATGAGTGAGAAGAGTACAGAACAGATATAGGACAGCTGTCATGTTCAGTTTACCTGCTTGATGAGCATATAGGTCTCAGACATTATCTTCTCGATGCGTCCCAGGTCGTAGGTCATGATTTTCTGCCCTTGCTGCCACACTCTGTAGGCATCAAGCAGCAGGGTTTTTCCAGACTCTACATCCTCTATAAGTTTCCTTTTCCTGTTTGGCTTCCGCTGTGAGGCCTGATCAGTCCCACCTGCCGCCGCCGCGGCTTTCGGCGCGGCCGCCTGCAGCTGCTGCTGCCGTGAACTGATGCTCAGCTCCTCCAGGGACAGCTCCGGCGCCCGGCTGATCTCAGCCGCCTTCTGCTGGGCTTCCAAGCCGCTGAGGCAGGCGATCTCAGTCCCCGTCTGGTTGCCCTGAGAGTCTGTGATGGTGGAAGGCTTCCTCCAGAGGGACGTTTCCATCTCCATTGGTTCATCCGGTCCTGCTTTGTTCCCTTCATTCCCAGAAGTTTCCACTTTCCCAGGGAAGCCCTCCTGAGCTACGCTCCCTTTATCTGTTGACAGCGGTGGTGAGGTTAGCTGAGGCTGCGAAGCTTCCCTAGGCCCGGTATCAGTGACACAGGCTCCTTCTGGAAGCCCAGGCCTCTTAGGCAGCGTATGTTTGCTGTCCTCCGAACTGGGCCTGTTGGATGTGTCTGTTGTGGTCATCTCCCCCATGGAGGGTGCAGGCGCTTTGTGGAGCTGCTCAGACACCTGAAAGAAAGCAGAGGCTGTCAAAACATGAAGTAGCAGCATGCCAGACGTCTGCAACCCCGGGTCACCCGTGGCTGTCGGCGCATTTAGCACGCCGGCTTGTTCTTCCTTACCCCTGTGAGACTGCTTAGATTCTCCTCCAGGACTTTTACAGTTAGGAAAAATGCTCTCTTGGCCAAAACCTGGCGATCAACATCCCGTAAATATTTCCTTTGTGGAAAACGAGAGGAGATGTCAAGGAGCCAAAACATAAAAGCTAACACAAGCTGTATAAATCGTACAAAACGGCGTCCTTACTTTCCCTGGTCAGGGTTTTTGTGCAGCATGAAAGAGACTTTTAGGAGAGTGTTGTGATCCTTGAGCTGAGACAGCACCTCCAGCAAGAGGACGACGGATCGGTTCATATGAGACGCAAAACTTCCTGGGCGATCAATCTCATCCACTGGGATACGCCAGATTCCCTGGGGAGAAAAACAAAAAGCAGGATAGAAGGTTTAACGGTTAAAATTTGCGGTTTTGAATTCCTCTAATCTAATTCCAGGTATTCGGTTTGGAGTTCTGATAAAGAATTTCTGCATAAAGGGTCTACTTTCTGTGATTCATAGAGCTGTCAGCAGCATAGTACCTCAACAATCCTTACAAAGATGTTTAGTTAGAGAGAGAGAGAGACTGTCTTCGCTGCTGCAGCCTCTATTTTTCTGCATCATCTGACTTTTTGTATTGTTTTATTGTCATTACACTTTCACAAGTACAGAGCAACAAAATTAAGTCCAACACTTAAGTGTTGGCGTTAGAGTGAACGATCTTGCCTAAGGACCCACACTGGCACCGGTGAAGATTATTAGTCATCCAGGTCATAGTCATTCCAAAAAAAGAAAATTTCCTAGTTTGAAGACGTTTCGCTTCCCATCCAGGGAGCTTTCTCATTTCAAAATGTCAGGAATAGTGTTGAGTTTGAGGTTTTATACAGAAGCCCAACAAAGGCTTGTTTTGTTTTTTTTTCTTTTCAGAATTGAAACCGACTCGCACTGGCAGCTCTTTCCCCCTAGCTGCAGTACGAACCCGGGCCTCCTGTTTGCAGGACAGCTCACTCTCCACTTGAGCTAGCCAGTCACTACAAATCATCTTTGCATTTAACCTATCCCCTTAGGGAGCAGTGGGGTGCCATTGTGGGGCACCAGGGGAGCAATCGGGGGTTAAGGGTCTTGCTCAGAGACCCAGAGTGGCAGTCTGTGGGAGTGGGGCTCAAACTCAGAACCTCTGGATTCCAAGCCCTATATCCTAACCAGTAAGCCGCCACTCCCCAGACCCGGTCTTTGCACTTTGCACACATCATCCGGTTCAGATTTCTTAAGCAGTTCTGGTAGCTTTTATTAACAAATCAACAGTCTTTATATTTCATGACCTTTGAAGGTTCTTTCCGCATTAATAACCTCAACCAACGAGTCATATCAAAACGGAGAGGAAACGCATAGCGTTCTCAACTTCCACCACAGATAAAAACATTGACATGAAGGAGGAGGACGTTTCTTAAAAATGTATTAAGTAATGTATTAAGTCCAATATGCATTAGGAAAATTACTTCTGGTATTAAAATCCTGTGAGATTATGTCTTATTGGCTCAATTTTACAATGAGGCCATAACTTGAAAAATATGTACCAACATAGTACATTGTGCAGCTCTTACTGCAGTAATGCCCTACATAGAAACATCAAGTCTCCTTCCCTTTTTGATTGCTAGCATCTTGGTTGCTAAGATCTATATGCGTTGTGGATTTAAAAGGCAGGACCACTGTCTATCCAACTGGCTCAATTATATCATTAGGCAGGAGGAGAGTGAATGCCCTGCAGCTGAAGAATAATAGCCTGTCGATTATTGCATATTATCAGAAACAGGCATGGGCCTGTTACTGGTTTGCCGGGAATAAAAAAGTCCCAGGAATCTAATCGTCGCATAGCAAAGTTTTTGGCGTCAACTCAAACAATAAACACTTAAAGTTTTTATTTTTTACCAAGACAGTACATTACCCCAGGCAAATTAAAAAGCCATAACTCAATGTTCCAGACACGGTTTTAAATGTTGAACTCTGAAGAGCTCTTTGTATCACTGTATTTGAGACTGTTCCAAAGTTTATAAGTTCTGGATGGAAGTTGTGAATGTGGTAAAGTCAGTGTGTTGGAGAAGGATCCATATTCATTGATATTCAGATTTTTTTTTCTGTGATAGGCTCACATTTAAGAATATGAAGACTCTACTGAACATTGGTATTCTGGAGGACACAAGACCAAAACATGTCGACTTTCAATGGCAGAGCGGCTCACAATGAATGTAGCCTTGGGAAACAAAAAACAAAAAAGCAACCTCTTAAGGCAAGGTTATCCTTGGAGCAATCCCCTTTCGATTTTAAATTGAAGTTTTCACGCATCTCCGACCAATCCTTTAGACAAAAAACAAAGAAAGTGGTGTTGCGCCAATATACCCAATACCTGGCTGTGCAGTATTGGCCGATACCATCTGTTTGAAATTGATGTGTGTGTGTATATATGAAGAACTGCAGACTACTTGGATGTAGTATGATGATGAATCCAGTAGAACTTTTTATTGCCTATCTAGAATGGGGGACAATAGTTGAATAAACTTTTGGATCTCAAAGTGGTATCGGTACCCTATTTGTCCGTACTCGCTGATACAGTCAGATACCATCATTTTATTACTGAATCGGGGCCCCGCCCGATACTGGTATCGGTGCAACACTAAAAGAAAGCCAACCGGAGTACTTCGTATTGTGAAACACTAATAATCACCCAACTATCACTTTTGAATAGTCATTATTTAAAGTTGAAATGTTTACTTTACTGTGAAAAATGATTCAACAATGAAGCCATGAGCCATCAAATTCTTACCTCTCAAGATTAATTTCACCCCTGCAATTATACTAAGCCCTCCCTAGGGGGCGCATCCCCCACTTTGGGAACAACCATCTTTGGGAAACTTGTCATGTTCCTGGAAATATCAGTGTGGGTGTATGTTGTAGCTTTTTTGTTTTGTTTTACGTGATTTAATGGTGCAATGTTCTTTATTTTATGTGATGCGAAATAAAAAAAATGTTAAAAAAGGAACAAATAAAAGCTCCCTCATCCTAAATGTATCCGATTTAAGTCTAGAAATATCATTAATATAAACACGTAATAGCTTGTAATGCGTATATTATATTTATAAAGTGATGTTTTTTGTATATATTATTGCAAACATTTTGTTAATGGAAATAAAAACTGATTTTTTTTCTCTTCACTTTTGGGGGCGGGGTTTCCTCTGGAATGGGGAGCAAAGATGCATTCCTATTGGTCTGCTGGACTTTAGCATCATTTTTATTGGTCAATGTGTGTTTAAGAGGGAATGTTGTATTAGACTTAAAGTGAATAAAATGTAATCTGTAAAAACGCTGTTTAGGAAGAACGTTATTTCTAAAACAAAAACAGAAAAACTGAAATTTGAAACAAAGGAATCAAAAATATAAATCTGTAAAAAAAATATATATAAAATTATTGACTCCATATGTATAGATTTAGGACCGGGATTCTTACAGATGGTCCCATGTTGCTAAAGAACTTCAGGTACAAACCGATTCAGGATAAACTGATATTTCTCATCAACATTAATGTGGACATCACTGTTTATTTTTAGCTAATTTATTTTATAGACAAACTGCTCAGTTACCCAACACTGGTTACTGTAAATCGTCTAAGGCCTTGGCATTTCAGACATGGAAATAATTAACAGCAGGACATGGGGAAGAAAAAGGTGTTGAACTAGTGCAAGTGAAGCACACGCCTTTCAAAGAAGCCCTAATGAGGAGACGGAAAGGCTTCCGGAGAGATCGTGCGAACGAGTCGGTTCTGTAGCAGGTGGGAAGGAGGAATTGGGGGAAAGTTTCTCTCTATACAGGATAGCCAGCCTCATTAGTGCTCAGTTCTGTCCAAGACTTGTAACAAGTAAGCAGACAGGCTGCCAAGAACTGATGAGGGATATTTTCTGATGGAAGCGTTCTTTAGCAGAGAGCACATGTCCTCTCAGCAGGTACGCCGAGGTGGGCCGAGGCCTTCTGAAGCTGCTGATGTGAGTGCAGATGGCGCTCGGGCGGAGAACGGGCCACAGTCAGAAAGCATGTGGCCCACAGCTCAGTCACACTCTCAGAAAAAAAATAAATAAGTAGAAGTGTGTGAAACAAAAACAGAGATGACAGAATCAGAATGGAGCCACACGAAGCAGGAGGCTGCGTCCGCTCCGGGCGGGAGCCCCGAACAGACAACTCCAGATTGTCAGATGACATTTTCAAAGCCAGTGGAGAGGAACACAACAAAGCCAAATCCTGGAAAGCGGGAAGGCCTCAGATCGGGTTATGTGAACAAAACTCAGAGCATTTTCTGAGAAACTCCACAATCTTTTTTTTTTTTACTTTCCTTTGAAAAATCCAGAGTGGATCCCGAGTTCAAACGGAAATATTACAGCTGTAACTATAAGCTCTGAGCTCCTTTCAGACAGATGCCTAGAAGAGTATGGGACTAATGGACGTCTGATCAGAAGGGCTGTTACTGCAACATGATGGGATCAAGCGGAGCTTCAGGAAGGTTTTTACCCTTTCTGTGCAAAATGTATGAAAAGCTTCCAACAAGAGAGGAGCCAGCCCCATGGAGGCAGGAAAGACCCGTCAACCTGTTCCTCATCAGAGGACCATCCAATGACAGCAGAGCCATGGCTTTACACAGATTATGGAGCAAACCAACAGCTAAAGCAGATTTGTAAGACTTTACTGCAATTATGTTAAGCCCCTCCCCCCACAATAGTAAAAAAAAAAAAAAAACTATGACAGCTTTGGCACAGATAAAACAACAAGATTTAGAGTAAATGGTGGAAAACACCAGACCGTTACAATAAACATGAACATGTGGAGCTGCTGCCTTATTAGCTACAGATAAAAGGAAAAAAATCCAGTCAGTTTCCTATTGGTGAATGACTAGCAACACTCTTCAATGTGGTAGCTAGTAGGGATGCATGATATTGGGATTTTGGCCGATATC